AAATGCATAGCATGGTACTTGTGAACACGCAAGCTGCCAGGAAAGGCGCGCATTAAAATTTTGATGCAGTATTCAGCTAATGGTAGTCGGTAACAATCCAATGCGGCTACACAGACTTGTTCCAGAATCAAATATTCTAAACAATGAAAAATAAAATATATATTCATGACATGCATATAATTTTTGATAATTTTAAGAATAAGAAAATATATATTGATAGAATACTTTCATTGCCCAAACGATCAATCTTTCCCATCAAAGTATTTTCCCAGAAGTCTACTACATCTTTACTTCGTCGCTCGGAATCTTCCCTCCAAGTTCTCAGTAAGTCCCTTACTTCTGTATAACAAAAACATGCACAAAGTTATCATTAGAAGCACACAAAAATTCTTATAATGAAATATGAAATTGATTTTAATAAAATAATTATACAAAATAATATTCTTAGAAAATTATTAATTTAGTATTTTTTTAAATATTTTAATGTTCAACATAAATTCATAAATAATAGAGCATATATAATTAAAATATTAAACAAAATAAAATATATATGCAATAATGTCAAAATATGAATTAGAAATATGTCAACAGTATTAAATTTTTATTAACAATGACTCGGTAAACTTTTTGCAAAAGTTTCTTGGCATTAAGATTAAATTATTTGATAACATAAAATATTTATTTTTTAAAAATTATTACTTAAATATATTATTATGATACTTTTTAAAGAATATGTTCAAAGAATCAATATTTATTTTACAATTACACATGATGAGATAACGTTAACTGTCACATGACAAAAAGACTCACCTGTCCAGGACAGCTTGTCGTAACATCCTGCCATCGCTTTGTAAAACGAAGGAAATCTGTTTAGGCGAACAAATAAAGCACGATACAAATTTTTGTCACGCACTGTTCTGAACTACTCTGGAGGTTATGCAATGTGGCACGTAGCGCCCATGATACACAGTGTAAACATTATCGGATTAAACACATTCGTAAAAACAAAGAAAAATTAATCCTTTCCACTTTCTTGTAACAAAAAAAAAAGAGCATAAAGAGCTTAACGTAATGCCGAAATGTCGCACTAAGCAATAGCGTCTCGATTTCTTTACATTTGCCAGCGTAGAAGATAATTTATGCTAAATAATGATAAATAATGATCATGAAGGGGAGCGTGAGAAAGAAGGGATGACAGCTTATTCACTTCCGTTACACATACAAGAATTTGGGGACTGTGTGTTGTGTGTTTTGCTAGTGGCGATTACAAGTTCATGAAATTAAGGTCCCGCGCACAATAAAGGAAATATTAGGAATAGAAATAAATATTAAGATTTTAACCTATCAGAAATTGGTTACATTGGAATACATAATTTTTGATAGGTTCAAACCTTAATATTTATTCCTAATATTTCTTCTATTATGTGCAGGGCCTAATGTGTGTTCGTATCACACTAGCAATTGGAGATGGCGTCTGCGTCGTCTGCGACATCTGGGTATCGATTCTATATCTTGAAACGAAGTGATAATTACAAAAGTGAGCGAATTTACTAGAATATTGATAATTTCATTGGTCAATACCTAGTAAATTTGCTAACTTTTTTTATTTTCACTTCGTTTCAAAATATAGAATCGATCCCCTGCATTCGCGTTTGCGTTTCTCGACCAATCAGAAAAGAACTGCTGGTAATGCTGTTCAATTGCTTCTTTTTGATTAATTAAGGCTGTGGTCAAAAGGTGCATTCCGTTTCATGCATGACCCCGGATCTATTAACGTTTTCGGCCCGATCGGGTTTGCACCAACCTGGGTTGGATTAATCTTTCCTATTGGTTGATATCACACGCTCTACCAATAGGAGAGCGCAAAACGCCATTAATCCAACCCAGGTTGGTGCAAACCCGGTCGGGCCGAAAACGCTATATAATAGATTTTTAAGCCTGAAGGTAAATTTTCACGAGCTGCTCTAACCGGCTATTTTAGCGACAAAAAGGATCACGTGATCAAATTGGACATTTGATATTCGTCAATTTTGACCAC